CCCCCCCCAGTTAAGCTGCGGCTGCGGTTGGACTGCGGGTGTAACTCGAACTCGATGCGTAATTACATGCTGGATCGCGGCTGCCCCGGCGGCTGTGGCTCGGGGGAGGGTGCGCCGAATGTGAATCTGAGCAAGAAAATTTGCACTTGCATCCGGCGAGATAGCTTGCTCCCTTCTCTTTTCTCCGCCCGTGCTCTTGCCGATCGTCTCTGATTATCCGTTCCTCCCCCCCCCCCTTCTCTCTCTCGCTCTCTCTCTCTTGCTCTCTCTCTCTCTCGCTCTCTCTCTCTCTCGCTCTCGCTCTCTGTCTTTCTCGCCGCGTTTCGATCGGCGGCTTGGAGGGGCGGCGCCTGTACCGAATCTAAATGGCGGGTGGGGCGTGGCGAGGCGTGGCGCATGCGTAGTGCTTGGCATTGTCGATGTCGGAGAGGAGGAGGGTGGAGGCGGGAGGCGGGGGTTTAAATTCCAGTGATTTGATAGCAGCTGATGGGCGGAGCGCGGCCGAGCCGATGTGCGTTCTCTTTATGGACTGTGCCGATGATTACCTCTCGGTAAGAAAGTAGCGGGCCGAGGAGGAGGCGGAGGAGGAGGAGGCAATGAGGGGAGGCTGACATGTGGCGCGACGGCCTTGTTGCCTGTTGCGCGGTCTGATAGTGCCCATCGCGCTAGCGAGAGAGAAGGGTATGGCCAAGCAATGGGGGAAGGGGGACCGAGGATGTATAGTAAAAATCGACGTACTTTAACATTTTCGTTTTGTAGAGTAATTTGCCCGAGCATATATCTTATTTTTTCCTGATTTATTTCGCTGGTGGGTTTATTTTTTGTTTAACTTTTATTCGTTTCTCTTTGCCCGGTCGGTGCACGCGGTGGAGACGCGAGGTGCTGGGGGGAAAGGGGGGGGGGCGGAGTGTCACTACGTGCGGTGAGAGTCTCTAGGAAAGTACGGGCGTAATTGTTGTGTGTTGATTTGCAATGGTAATAGCCGTGGCGCTACACCGCTGGGCCGATAGTATGGCGGTGTGATTATTTATTATTGTCGATGTAATGTTTTACGCGCCGAGTTCTGAAAGTGCCGTGCGGCCACCCCGTATGCGCACCGCCTTTACCCGGGAAGCCTGCAGATCGTAATCCTTTGATATTGATTGTTTCAGGTAAGCTTTCGAGCTTCAGAAGCCTCAGAAGGACGTTGGTGGTCAGGGGATATGTACGGCAGCGGAGGGACGGTGAGTTTACTTTTATCTTCTTTCTTACGCCATTTTCCCCCTTTTTAGATAGTTCCCATATATTTTTTTTAAGTGTATGCATGAATCATTATTGAGCCTCTAAGTCACACACACACACACACGCTGCGCCGTTGGAAAACGTGTGCGTTTCGGTTGCTCGCGGCGTTGTGTTTTTGGGCGAAGGGGAGAGTCTCGAAGCCGGGCGAGAGAGGCGAGCCGGTGTCTGACTGGCTGCTTTGTATAAGATTGACACCTCCCCGTTAACGAGGTGGCCGACGGGGCTCCGGCGGGGCCGCGGCGAGCACCGCCGTATCAGCGAGTGGATTATGTACTCGCCAGGACTATATTATCACTTCGCCTCCCGGAGTGCCTGCTTGCTCCTCACACATGACCGCTTTACCGTGGAAAAGGGTGGGGAGGCAGGAAGGCAGCAAAACCTTTTAAATTTCTCAACTAAGTACGTATATGGTGTACCAACGACACATGTGCTTGATTGAATTGAGTGCGTTAAGGTACAGTTCGTTGCTAAACTTTGCAGCTTTATTAGCCTACTTTTTTGCCAAGGGAAGTCCGTTTCCTGCCCCGTCACCTGGAAGCTCAGCGTTGTCCACGCCCTTTGCAGGTCCTGGAATTCACTGCTGTGTCCTTCCTCTAACACGATCCCCGCCAGGCTGGTAAATACGCGCCCGTCTCCTCCCGAATGCGATGACCCTTGACCGCGTGATAAGGTTTCTCCCGAGCGGCGATCAATTTGCGCTGGGCGCCCCGTGTGTTGGTAATAGCGAGTGTGATCAGATGATCGCGCACACGTCAATCAGTCAATCGTCCGATCAATCAATCAATCACTCCGCTCAACTACCAGCGTGGGCCGGGCGGCGCCCCCACTGACGTTGATAAATCGATGGTATTGTTGTGATTACCTGGTTCAATCGGCTTTGATCTCCGATCGTCATCACTGGAGTAGGTAGCCGTGTCGTCCACAAACCACGTAACCCGTTTCTGAGTAGCTGACTCACTCGGATTGTACTCGATTTTCACTGTGCCAAAGTTAGTTGTTTAAAAACAAATAAAATAAAGGAAGGGCTATATACTTGTCGTTTGCAGGGCGATTTGCCTCGTGCCTTCGAGTGCTTCACTACTCTACACAAGTACATATCGCGTTTCAGCTCAACGTCGCTCGCCTCGAATCGATCGCCTAGGCCCTCTCCCCCACCCACGCCCTTCAATCCTCGCATACTATGAGACGCCATTACTTCGATTTTTATTTGTCCTATTTCTTACTTTTTAAAAGGGTGTGTTTGTAAAATTTTAATGTTTTGACTGAAGTCGACTCGTCTTGCAGTGGGCGCTCTAGCATCATGCACAGCCGCTCCCACCACACCTTGCCCCGCCCCGCCCCCCACAGCGCCCCTCGGTGTGCACTCTCTCGGCGCTAATTCTATTACCGGTGTTGGATGCACTGCTCTTCTGTGCGGTGGTGGTCGAGGTGAGGTTTGTGCGACTTCGGCACTTGTGTTTCAGGAGACTCTTTGCAGTCTCTGATTGCACAATTCTTTTTCACCCTTTTTTTTTTACCAATTTTTTCCCCATTTAGTGATGTGATTACCTCGAATGACTCGTCGGTTGGGGTCTCCTTTGGCTTGACCCACATGTGTGGACCATTTTCTGGCAGTCTCGCTGCCACTGCTTCGCTCACGAACGCTCCCAGCCCAAGGGCCTATCGTGTGGGACTCAGTGGGCCTAGGTGTGTGTATAGCCGACGTCGCGTGAGAACGCATCGGTTTGGCTTCCGAGAAAGTGGGATTGTGCATGTTCCAGTGTCAATGCAAGTTTGTTAGTGTGTGTGTGTGTCTGTGTAAATGGCGTTTATTAACATTCCCCCCGCACTTAGCCCCAAGGGTCATTGTGTAGGTCTTTGACCCTGCCTGGCCAGAGGAGGGTGGGGGTGGCTGGGCAGTGGCATTTGGACGGCAGGTGACGATGACAGGTCATGTGCAGTGTCATGTGTGATCTGGCGCACGCATCTTTCTCTCTCCCCTCCCCTCTCTCCGTACTGCGGGAAAGCACCGTGTCGGGAATCCGGGTGGAAAAAAAGGCGCTTTACAGATTTTAGTCGATTGCGTAAGTACAACACAACACCAGACGTGACTTGGTCTGTGCATGCGGGGCTGTGGCGTGGCGGCGTGTACCGCGGTTAAATCCAGACGGGTTGCATTACACGTGTGTGTGTGTAAGTGTGTGTGTGTGTGTGTGTGTGATCGGGCGTCAGGGGCGCACTTTCCCCTCGAGAGAAGTTAGGAGGGCTAGGTGGGGGAATTCGTCATTCGTCGCGACTCGGCGACGAGGTATGGCGGAGGTGACAGCAATGCTGTGTGTGTGTTAGAGAGAGAGAGAGAGAGAGAGAGAGAGGGGGGGGGGGGTTGCGCGGTGGCACACTTGCGAGCTGCTGTAATGAGATCCAGTTATGCTCGGCTCTGCGTCGGCGGCGGCAAGGCGCTCCTACTATAGTGTAGCTGCAGCGTTGGTGGGCTGTTCGATATCCTGCCACGAAAAGTATACACTACTTTGTGGTATTTAGATGGCGGAAACAAAATTGAATTGTGTTCACAATTGCGGATACAATGATGTGTGGTGGTGACGCCCCCTCAGTGACACTGATGAGATGGATTGTTCTGTCATCCGACACGTAATGGGTTAGAAAGAGAGACAGCAGCTTGGGCGCGGTGCTTGAAGTGTGCGGGTGTTGGAGGAAGAGGGGGGGGGGGGGTGAGCAAGTGGGAGAGCGAGAGCTTGTATCATACTTGCCGCCGTTATAAAATGATCGGTATGAAGAAGTTCTCGAAGAAAAACAGAGCGAATCGCATTTATTATGGGATCCGTGTGCATCCACCCTCACTCGCTCGCATGCCCGGCCATGGCAGTAGCGCTCCACAGTTCTCGGAAGGGATTGGTGACGTACCGTTATGTCGGGGGTGGGGCGGGGCGGTGTGTGCGGCCGGGGAATCAGGATGATATTGTTGCTGACCGGCCCTTCTCTTTATCTGCAGCACGGCATCGGGGCTGGCGCTACCAGAAACTTCTAAGACCTATTTTATTTTTATTTGCTTCTACGACGGGGGACTTAGTGCAACTTCCCGATCCTGCCCAAACTGGGTACTCACGGTAAAAAGAATGTCTTGAAATCTAAGAAATTTCCTCGGATTTCAAGACATTCTTTTTGCCGTGCTTGCTTATCCATGTAGATCTAAATGGATGACGTTTGCCTTTCATATTTCGACACTCCTTGTAGCAGCACTATTGTTTGAATACATAATCCCCAGCGTATGAAACACAAAATTTGACCGGTTATCATCATCTACTTGGATAAGACGCAAATCTACCGAGTTCTAGCTTAATCTCATCGAGTACAATAATAAATTAAGATTGGAATCTTCTTTAAATTTCCTTTGATGTAATTTGACACTGTTCTGTATGGCTCACAATCAGTGTCGGCTGGAGCCAATTTTATTGATTAGCCTGCGTTTCCCAGACTGTCATGTTGCTTCTTCCTTCTCTTTTTTTTTGCGGGCTCCTGTCATAGATATCCATTTCCGGCAGGGCTGTCTCGGGGGAGGTTCGGGCGATGCAGGGCGAGAGGGGGGGGGGGGGCTCTACCTCCCTCCCCCTCGCCCGTAGCTGCCGTACTCCGCATTCCTCGAAGCAGTGACTCGGGCAGCGATCTGGACAAAACAATGTCGAATACAATGATAGGGATTCACGGGATTGGTGGAAGGGGGTGAGCGAAGCGTTTCTTTTTGCTGCGATATCATGCACGGCGAAAAATAATTCTCGTTTTCTTCTCGTTTTGTTAAACGCAGCCTTGAATTCTTGAGTTTGTAAACGCATGTTTGGGTGAAAAATGGATGCGAGTGTTGTACCTGAAAGGGTTATACTGCTGTCGACCTTGGAATTAAACAGCTGCTTGCAGCGTGTTTATTATTTACTTCTTATTTTTTGCCTGAGTCCCTTCGTTTCTGGCCGTGCTCTCTCGACGCAAAGTTCTCATTTTCATCGTGGCCTGCAGGTCTTTGCACTCCTCGGTGGCTCGAATTTTTGCCGTGCATGCAAGCGTTGACGCCCCCGACGACGTGCGCGCGCAGATGAGCCGAATTAGATACGTTGTGCAAATATGTTGACAGCAACCCTTGAGAGGCTGGCCGGCCGGCCCCGTTCGTTTGTTGATAAGCGGTCCAGAGGTCAGCATCTCGTCATATCGAGGCAGATTATCTCCAGCGGAGGAGATAAAAATGGTGGATTGGGGCTGGGCAGCATCATCCCACCTCTCCGCCTATCGTCCAGCAGCAGGGCGCTCCGGGTGGGGCAGGTCGCGGTGGGGGCGCTGCTCTTGCACATCAAGGTCACTGCCTGGACGTACCCGCACCTCGGCGCGCCCGGCGCGCCCGCCTGGTGGTATGGCCGCGCCCTGCGCCCGATTCATCGCACCCACAATGCCTTTATATTGAGGGGTGCTGTAAAAAGGGCCCCCGTTGTCATGCTAAGCAATTAAAATGCTGTCCGTCGCTGCTGCTGCTGCTGCTGCCGGTGTTTGTCGTCGGTAGATCTTGGAATGGAAGGTCGCCTCGCTGCCGCCACATATCGATGTATCGACGACCGACTCGTCGCCGAGGCAAATATTGACTGTAACCGGATGGCAAAGCATGAGTCAAATGCATGGGTATATGGATGGGTAGCTGGGTGGATGGCGCGCGCGCTGCGTGGTACGTCGTGGAGTTGTGCAAGATGATGTTGTGATTGTATTTGCGTGCATGTGACAAGCACATCTGATTTTTCGGAACGAATTGAAATCGGCCTTTTGTTTGCGCCTGCTTTTGAACCGTCCGAATATGGCGTCAGACGCGCATTGCTGCTTGAGCTCTGCGTATGGTTCGCCTCCATCCCACTCGCGACAATATTTGGATTGTTGATCTTTCCATACGATACCGTGGTGGTCACTATGCTGCTGCACCTCGTGACTGCAACGACTTGACTTTTCAACTTCTCGTCGCAAGTCTCGCTTGTTTGGAAGCGAATCTCCTTACTATTTTCAGAGAACTTAATTATTTGCCCAAGTCCCCGACGCGTGTTTTCCGCATTTGTGGCACCGTTTGAATGGACATTGGCCACGGCTCGCGCAGTACCTTGCGTCTGAATGTTGGGGAGATGAAACACGGGTAAACAGCGGTGGCCGGGGGGCTGTGTTTATAGTCGAGCCTAGGTAATCAAAGGCGCGAAGGGATCCGTATGCACGCGTTCGACCTACCTGCCCGAGACAGGTTACCAGAAACCTGACTCTCGACACACTGAAAAACCTTCCCCAAATTTTCATTATTTTTTTTTTACGCTCAAATATTTACACACGTTATGTTCTTTTTCTCGAATATCCCTCAAAAATAATTTTCTGGAAAATTAAGACCCCTATTCTGAGCTCTATTCTCTTCCTCTCGAGCATTGCCTGCGTTCGAATGGCACTGTGCGTGTGCGTGCGTTCGGGTGGTCGCGGTGCTATTCGGAGCCGGCTGCGGTGCCGCGCGGTGCCTCGCGGTGCCGCGCGCGTAGCTCAGTGGCGGAACAGCCGCTATAAACGTGAACACGATGGGATTGACGCGGGGCAACATTTTAATGGCTGCCTCTGCTTTATGGACTGCTGGGCTGGCGAAAGCTGCCTACGACTAACTGAACGCGACCGACTCGTGTGGTGGAGAGAGATGGAGAGAGAGGGAGAGCGGGGGAGAGGTTTAAGG